AAGATTGACCCAAAGTGCATCCTAGTTAAGCACATATCCAAGAAGTCTCAGTCCACGTGGTCGTATGCTTTTTCAAAGTTTATGAATAGAACTACCGCATGGACCTTAAGTTCATGGGTGTACTTAGTGGTCTTATTGACTCGTAGAATGTTGTTTTGGGCATTTCTATTCGGCATCAACCCTGTTTGGTCGGGATGGATTAGCAAGTTTATTAGGGGTAACATGCTTGTGGTTATTGTCTTCGCCACCAATTTATAGGGAACTGGGAGGAGAGTGATAGGCCTATAGTTCCTAATGGCCTCCTTAATATCTCCCTTGTTATTGAGGAGTGTGGTGACACCCAGTCCCATCATACCACTGAAAAACCCTTCCCAGTGCACCGCACCGCAGCGATATAGTTCATGATGTCGCCATACAGCAGGTCTCAAAACTATACCGAGAATTCCTTAGGGAAGGAATCTAACTTGGACGTTTCTTTTTTCTTCCGTATCTTGCAAGGTCTCCCAAGTCTCCTGCGGGGTTACGAGTTTGTGCAGTTCGCCTTTTCACGAAAGTGTAAGGCGTATGTGGACTGCTTGCAATAACTCTTCCCTCTCTTAGAGGACTTTGTCCAGGTGCTTATAGGTAGTTTGGGATGTCTAACGTGTTCTCGTAGTATTTGAAAGTGTAATCTACTATGACATACGTGTTGGAGGTCACCGAGGCAACTTCATCAAATAGGTGTTCGAATCTAGAGGTTGTGTTAGCCCTTGTTCTAGCTCTTGCTTTGTTAAAGGAGGATGTTATCATTATTCATTATGTATATTACTCCCGTTTTATTATCATATGTATCCTCTAGGCTTGAGTTTTTTGGTCTATATAGGCTTGGAGGTGGTCCTTTGCTTCTTGCAACTTTTTTTTAGGAGGGACGATGCAACAGGTCCTCCATGAGTTGTCCGTCTCAATCTTCAAGGTCTTGCATAAGTTTCTCAATGAGGGTTGTACAAGCTCTCGCATGTTGGGTGGAGCGCTTTTTGGCTCGCTCTTTGAGCTGTGATATTCCTTCATTGAACCGAGTTCTTATTTCCCCAGAATCTGGTTTTATGGGTTTTACCAGTATTGCCAGAAATTCCCCAGAATGTATCGAGTCTATTGACCATCTCTTTACATGTTGAGAGAGGTAGTAAGGAGGTGTTAAGCTTATAGAATCCGTACCTGCTCTAGATATGGGACTGGTGTAGAACGATACTCCAAGTGTAATCATCCTATTGTCAAAAGACTTACAGTTGAGAGAGGTAGTAAGGAGGTGTTAAGCTTATAGAATCCGGACCCGCTCTAGATATGGGACTGGTGTAGAACGATACTCCAAGTGTAATCATCCTATTGTCAAAAGATTTACAGGAGTTGATGGTTGTGATATCCGCAGTGGTGACCAAACCTGTAAGATCTTTATATACTAATGTGAGGTCGATTCGTGAGTAGTCGTCTCTCTTTGCCACGTTTGTGGGGAGAGGATTAAAGTCCACAATTTTGTAGTTTTGTCCAAAGTCGTGTATAAACGCTGCTTGTACTTCTACCGGGATGTGTCTAAGCTCAACCCAGTAGAAGTCTCGCATCATCTGCTCTCTCCTTTCCTCTGGTCTGATCTTTCTTGGGAGCCATGGGAAGATCCTTACCTCTAAACGATCCCATCGGATCCTTTTCCATCTATCCATCCGCTGTTTGTCTTGATTGAAGAGGCTCAGGACAGCGAAGACCGTTTGTAATACCGGCTGGATTAGAAAGAATTTTTGGACTGCCTCTAGGTTGTCCTTCATTCCTTCTAAATGTTTGCAGATCTCGCATCATCTGTTCTCTCCTCTCCTCTGGTCCAATCTTTCTTGGGAGCCATGGGAAGATCCTTACCTCTAAACGATCCCATCGGATCCTTTTCCATCTATCCATCCGCTGTTTGTCTTGATCGAAGAGGCTCAGGACAACGAAGACCGTTTGTAATACCGGCTGGACTAGAAAGAATTTTTGGACTGCCTCTGGGTTGTCCTTCATTCCTTCTAAATGTTTGCAGATCCATTTGATCTTCTCGTTGGTAGACCTGTTGACACCTTCATCATAGAATACCCAGTTGCTGGCGTATGTTGCATATATTTCGTCCCTCTTAGCTAGCTTGTCTGTCGGGTCTGAGTTCATCAATGTCTTTTTGCCACCCTGCTCCACCACCCTCTGTTCCAGGGGGTGGAGGAGCAGGGTGAGAAAGTACGTTCTTGATGATGACAGGTTTTTGAGTGGGACCTCCATTTCCTCAGCCAAGTTCCCTGGCTCATCTGCGTTGCCGACCGTCGGGTGGGGTATGGTTAGGGTTTACCTTGCATAGTTTCCCGCACTCTCTGGGCCCATGCGGGCTTGTCTGATGCGTGAGTAGATTTTTTCACTGACATGGCTTGTCAGTGAGGTGTGTGTTCCATTTTCCATTCCTCTTCCATCACCTCATCACTCGCCTCTTGCATAGCCAAATCCTCGGTAGCCTGTGCAACCAGGACGACCTTCCCTCTTCCTTGTTCCTCTTGGGGGGCCTGGGGAGTTTCTGCGGGTTGTCCCTGTTGTGCATTGGGGGCCATCCTCACAGTGAGACCAAACGAGGGTGTTCCCTACTGTGGTGTGGGTTCAATGCCGCCCGAAGTAGATGAGGAGGAGAGGCTCTGCTGCATTGTTGTCTCTGTCTCTATCTGCATTCGTGTGGTTGGTGTTGATTCTGTGGGGAACCAGCTCCTTGTGGCTTGTGTGATAGGTCTTGCATACAGTCCAGGGCCAAGCTGACGGTACATGGTGTGTCTCATTGCCCCCTGATAGAATAGCAGGCCCTTGGCCCTGCGGTATCCCAGCTTCATTTGGTCAACTGCCAGTCTCACCCTGGATGTAGCATTTTCTTGTTTATGCCGTACTGTGTGGTATTTTAGTTTTTGGATGTCCAGTTATTTGTATGTTTTTGAGTGCTTTTTGAGTGTTTTGTATGTTTTTTTTTTGGGAGTTTTTTTTTTTTTTTTTCGCCGTTTCTTTTCCTTCTTTCTTTCTTTCTCAAG